CTACTACTATATATATATATATATATATATATATATATATATATATATATATATATATATATATATATATATATATATGAGTGTGTGTCTGTGTGTGAAAATGAACAATATTTTCGCCCATAGGCTCGGCACCGTTCGATTTTTTCAAACGGCATGGATTAAAAGACCACCATGGACATAACGTGTTTTTAAGGCAAAACTGCAACCGCTTTACAAAAGTTGTTGCGGGGTGAAACACAATTCAAATTCGTCCATAAGCATTCGATCTTTCAATTCTTTTTTAAAGATTAGTTCCTACGATCTTTGAATTCTTTTTGTTTGAAATTCTAAGAAAGTGTCGCAAAGGTTGGCTTTTATATCCATTTTTTAAGAAAGTGCCTTCAATCTTTGAGTATTTTTTTTTTTTGAAGTTCCAAGAAAGTATCACAAAGGTTGGTTTTTGTATCATTTTTAAATTTTATATGAGGTCAGTGAAATATCCTATTAGTGATTTTGAAGTTTGGTTCGATTTGTGTAATAATATTTTTGGAATATTATAACTACATTCATACATAGTTTAAATGTAGTAAAATGTATAGGATTATATGACATTGGCAAATTTTTTACGTTGGCTTTTAATATGGAATTACATGCTTTTAATAGAATAAGATGTTCGAATAACATATTTTTATTATGATAAATTTTTATTTTTGCTCTTTTTTTTGGTAATATAAAAGCTTTTACAGTATCTCTATATAACTTTAAGCTAATTTGTGAGGCTAAATTAAAAAACTAGAGAAAAGCCAAAAGTTTGTTTAACGAAATATAAAGTTGGCTGATGGAACAAAATAGGTTAGAATATTGGAAGAGACTAAAGAGGTATATTAATTTTAAGTGATTTTTAAATTAGTATCATATTGTGTTTATCTTGTGTAGTTTTTTGTGTTTATTTTATTTATAATTATTTTTTATTTTTTATTTTAAATTAAAATTAATATTTTATAAAAGGATGCGGTTTCTATAAGGTTGCAACCTTAAACAATCCAATTAAGGCGCACTTCCAAATTTTATCATAACATGCAATTTTGTTGGAAAAAATTCATAGGGTTATCTTAAAACCTATTTTCATATCTAATTAGAAAATTATAAACTCTAAAAATAGTTAAAATCAAGGAGATCTATAAACATATGAAAATCTTAAAAATGGATAGCCTAGACAATGTGTTGCAAGATGCACTATTTCTAATACTCAAAATCTTTTTTTTTTATATTCATACATCTCGATGTCGAATGATCAAATAGAGGGTTTTTCAAAATTAAAATAACCTTTCCGATAGATTTTTAAGATGCATATGTAATTCTATATTTTAAGGGTGCAACTTTATATAAACTTTTCCCTTTATAAAAACTTTTTATGGTTAATATATTTAGGGAAAAGTTTTAATAAAGGTTGGAACCTTAAAATGTAGAATCACAGATGCACCTCAAAAATCTATCGGAAATGTTGTTTTAATGTTGAAAAAACTCTCTAATCATCTTGACATCAAGATGTATGAATATGAAAAAAAAAAGAAAAAAAATTTGAGTCCCGAAAATAGTGCACCTTCTAACACATTATCTAGATAGTTCATCTTCAAGAGTTTCATATATTTATAAATCTACTTGATTTTAACTATTTTTGGATTTTAAAATTTTCTAATTAGGTATAAAAATAGATTTTAAGATAATACTAAGAATTTTTTACAATAAAGTTACATATTATGATTACAATTTTAAGGTACACCATAATTGAATCGTTTAA